CAACTGGAATAGGAATCTAGAAGAGATGGAAAAAACTAGTGATGTGAGAATTGATTTCTATAATAATAAATAAAATGTGGAAGAAGAAGAAGAAGAAGAAGAAAGGCAATTCAAGGTGGAGACCGGTACGTATGGACGGCCACTCACGGTAGGTGGCGGGAAAATTGATTCCAACTACCTTGCTGAAATTTTTTTGGGGGTAGTGGTGGTAACACACAGCTGTTGTTTGTCGACTTGGAATCGGTATTTTTTTTCCCCCACAACCTCGAGAACTCCAAACCTGGAATTCCTCCTCGATCCCAATTCCATGGTTAAATTCCATTCCACTACTATGATTTTGATGCGAGATTCGTGATCGTGGTTGAGATTTGTTGAGGTGGAGATCGGGTTACCTTTCTTTCGAACTATTAGGGTGAGGATATGATGTCGAGGAACTGGTTTCTCGTGTAGTTAGCAAATGATGCATCATAACCAGGAATTGCTATATGTGGCTCCATTGTTTAAGTGTCATGAACGATTTTGATGTGTACCAAAAAAAATAACATTCAAACCAACTCGATGATTTAGAGAATCTTACTTATAATAAGTAATAAGTTGATGCTCGACTCTATGTGTGTTGCGATCGTTACTAAACAATCTAATTGAACTTCTTATGTTGCACTGGTGAATATGATCTTATATAGATCCTTCATTAAAATCTACGGTATGACATGAATGAAACACTATTAGTTGAAGTGGTCTGGAAAATATGGTGATTGTTGTGTACTTTGTGTCCTTCAAGCATTGCTCATGCAAAATGATTCACGCTTTTCATGAGACAAGCATGATTTGTATCAAATTTGAGTGCCGGCAACGATATCTTTTTTTGCCACCTGGTTAGGATGACATTTGTTGTCACCCGTAACTGATAATGAAATTGGACTTTATGATTTGAGCAAAAACAGTCCCCAAGCGAATCGTCGAACTCTCCTTCATGATGGTCGACTAGCTACTTTTTGCATGTCACTCGATAAAAACTCAATGTGTTGTGCTCGGTACTGTTATCAAAATTTATGATTTTAAAGATCACCTTGCTCGTATAATTTCAAACTTTCAGTCCTGCTAGTTCTCTTCGAACAAAAACAGTCCCCAAGCGAATTGTCGAACTCTCCTTCATGATGGTCACGACTAGCTCGATCGCTAACCCTTTGAAAAACACACATCTCCTTCTCATCCCTCCCACTTTGTAGCTTGATTTGTACCACAAAAGTTTAGGGACTAATTTGTAGTTTGGTTATTCACACCTTGGAGGAGACCAACCGTCATGGTTCCTCCAAAAATTCCACAAAGCATATCCGCCGGATTTTGACGCCCGACCACGGACAGCTCCTTCTTCTCCCGCCCCCACAAGACGACAAAAGGGAATAAAATCCAAAATCAAAACTAATAAAATTTTCAAAGCATATTATTAAGAAGAAAAACAACCCTATGATCCGTTTTTCCTCCGTCTCTTTTTCATATATAAAACGAATCAAATCTCTCAAATTGAAAGAAATTAATCAGCTCTGCCCAAAAATTATTCCATCCCATCATCCAAAATGGAAGATCTCGAAGCCGACGATCTGAATCTCAGCCTGTCCATCGCCATCCGTACGACGGATCGTCGCACCGACAGCAGCGGCGGGGGGATAAAGAGGAAGCGATCGCCGCCGTTGCCGCTGCTGTCGACCTCGTCATCGTCGACGACGACGGACGGCAGCCCGAATCACGACGGCGGAAACATCGAGGGGAAGATCTTCCGCCTCCTCCAAATGCGCGAGCAGATAATCAAGCGGCCGCGAACTGACACGACCCATCATCGGAAATCTCCTCCGCCAGCAGAGGACGAAAACGACGGCGGGAGCAAGGAGGGACTCCACCTGATCCACTCGCTCCTCATCGCCGCCACGGCGGTCGACGAGGGCAACTCCGATTCCGCCCTCGAGAACCTCGCCGAGCTCTACCGGACCGTGTCGCTGGTGGGCGACTCTGTTCAGCGGGTCGTCGCCCACTTCGCCGACGGGTTGTCGGCCCGGGTCCTGACCCGGAAATCCCCTTTCTACGAGACGATCATGAAGCGCCCCACCGCCGAGGAGGAGTTCCTCGCCTTCACCGATCTCTACCGGGTCTCCCCCTGCTACCAATTCGCCCACTTCACGGCGAATCAGTCGATCATCGAGGCGTTCGACCGCGAGGCCGTTGCCGCCGGCGGCGGCAACAGCGGAGCCCTCCACGTCATCGACTTCGACGTCTCGTACGGCCTCCAGTGGCCGTCTTTAATCCAGGCCTTATCGGAGCGGGCCACGCCGGCGAACCGGATCTCCCTCCGGGTCACCGGGTTCGGCAGGGGACCCGACGAGATCCGGGAAACAGAGTCCCGCCTCGTCAGCTTCGCTAAAGGGTTTCGAAACGTGGCGTTCGAGTTTCAGGGGCTTTTGAGAGGAGCGAAGCTCGTGAACCTGAGGAAGCGGAAGAACGAGACGGTGGCGGTGAATCTGGTGTTCCACCTCAACACGCTCGGCGGCGACCCGGTCAAGATTTCCAACACGTTGAGGTCGGTCCACGCGCTGGACCCGTCGGTGGTCGTCCTCGTCGAGCACGAGGGGTATCGAAATACGACATCGTTTCTTTCGCGTTTTATGGAATCGTTGCACTACTTCGCGGCGATGTTCGATTCGTTGGATGATTGTTTGCCTATGGAGAGCCCCGAGAGGCTCGGGATCGAGAAGAATTTGTTGGGGAAGGAGATCAAGACGATGTTGAATTGCGATGATTATGAGGATTCGAACCTGAGACATCATCAGGGGTGGAGGACAACTGGGCCCCCACCTCGGTACGAGAAGATGGAGACGTGGAAAGGGAGGATGGAAGGGCACGGGTTCGCCGGGGTGAAGCTGAGCTCGACCACGTTGATTCAGGCGAAGCTGTTGCTGAAGGTTAGGGCGCATTACGGTCCGACGGTGGAGGTGGATGGGGAGAGCGGTGGTGGTGGTGCGGGGTTTAGAGTTTTCGAGAGGGACGACGGGAAGGCGATTTCGTTAGGGTGGCAAGACAGGTGCTTGATGACGGCTTCAACTTGGAATTGTGTATGAAACAAAGAGGTTCATGATGATGATGATGATCATTCTTTTGTTAGTTTCTTGAGATTTTGGGTTAAACTAGGTTAAATGTAGCTTTGCTAACTTGATCATACAAATTAATACTTGATTCTTGTAACTTGAAGTAATATTGAAATGATCACACATAGAGTTGTTCCCCCTTTTATGTTCTTCGTTGATGATGATGATTACACTTGAGAAGAGTCTTCATTCTTCTAATTTTCTTTTGGTTAGGAAGAGAGATGGATTATATTAAGAGAAGGTGTGTTACCTTTGCGACCAAGCAAGGTTTAGCATAAAAAGATGGTGGAGTGGTGAGGTTTGGTAGGTAGGTTTTTGTCAATTAACTTTTTGAAAATTAGGACACAAAGTTTTGAATTAATTGATTTTTTCTTATATAATTGATTCCTAATCTATACTATTTGGTATAATTAATTAACTATTGATTTAGCATTTTAGTGTGTACTTATAGCATCATGATGATTTTGAGTTTTGAAGTATAATCGTGAGGTTTTCAATATTGATTTGGAGATTTGACATCAACGCGAGAATCCAATTCGGAGTAAGTTAGTGTTCTTCTTCTTTTCTCATTCCACAAGGATCCAGCATGCGTAGAAGAGCATCAAAGCAGCACAAGAAATCAAGCACACAATTTAGTGAAGCTTATGTACAATCCTTTACAGCCAAAATCATATATTTTAACAATTCAATATTATAATAAATAAATAAAAACAATTCAGGGTATTGGCCGTACAGAAATGAGCTTTTTACAAATCTTTTCCCCACTTAATTAAGTTGAATATTACGATAATACATTATATTCTATCATAACTAAAAAAATGAATCTGGAAATAATCCATCAGTAAATTGCATGCCCAAATGATTTTCGATAAATTAAATAAAATATAACCTTTCCCTCTCCTCTTCTTGTTCCACTTATTTAATTTTGAACTAGTGGAAGTCAAATTTACAACATAGTAATTTCTCATGTAAAACAAACTTAGCAAAGACAAACTTAATGAAGACAAATTGAACAAAGATTGGAAGTCCCACCCCAGAGAAAAGAAACAAAGATTGGAGAGATGATTACCAATCGAAAAGATACTATTACTCAAAACTTTGTAAAATACAAAAACCAAAATGAAGAAGTTTTATTTATAGGGTGTCTTAACTGATAATTCCCACATCAATCGTAGATTCCAATTGCCAGCTAAATTACTCAAATAAATCCCCATCGACCTCGAACCAACCCTCAAGTTTCCAGTTCCCACGCATGTTAATTACTGTCAAAAACATATATTTGTTTAATTAATTTTCTTGAGCATGGAACAAGTCAAATGAAAGAGTCTTCCTTCCACGATAGCCATATGGAATTCTACTCCTCTCCCAAAGTTGGGTGGATATCGTGTCATTTGAAAGCCATCCACGAAAATGGAGGCCCACAAACTTTAGGAAGATGGGCTTTTGGGCTGGTTGTAAGGGTCCAAAAGTTTGAACTCCACTGGTTTAGTTTAGAAAGGGCTTTTCTTAATATGGAGTATTAACTCCACTATTGATGTATCTATACTATTTTTCTTCGGGATATCTATAACTAAAAAAACTACAAGTTTTTTCAGTAAAGTTAAATAGTTTTTTTTTTTCAATTCCTACAATTTGGTCTTCATTTATGAGCTTTCAAATAAAATGGTCGCGATTTCAACTAGTTCATCAGAGTACAAGACAAAAGCCGAAGCTTGTCCGGAAAATCCCCGTCCTCCTTGATGAAAACAGAAAAAAAAATATCCCTATCCTACTAGTAAAAGGGAAACCGATGAATGCACGAGGTAAAAGGTTATATAGTGGAGTAAATCATCACGTAATAAAAAAATTTGAACTCTGCTATGACGATGGGGAGAAAGCGAACCACTGCCGCCCGCGCACAAAAGTTGCCGGAAAACATCATCGTCGACATTTTGTTCAAACTGCCGGCAAGATCGCTGCCTCGCTTCAGGCTCTTGTCCCGTAGGTACCTCAATCTCCTTCAATCCCCTGATTTTATCACCGCCCACGCCCGCGATTCTTGCCTCAATCGCGCCGGCGTTCTCGTCCTCGCTGAATCCATCTCTGGTAAAAAACAGGCTTTATTCTTACCACCCAACAATAGCAATGGAATCTCAATCAAGCCAGTGAAGAATAACGGGGTTTCGGACTTCCCCTTGCCATTCCTCAAGGGTTACAGCGAATTCGATGAGGAACCCAAGTTGAGATATGCCGGATCCTTCAATGGGTTGGTCTGTTTGATCCTCCATCGATGGGGAGAGTACTGGGTTCTGTGGAACCCGGCCACCGCCCAATTCAGCTTCGCCCCTCCGCCGATCTTGCCTCAGAGGGATTGCTTCTGCAACGGCGCACGCCCACACAGGGTCATTGCTGGATTTGGGTACGACTCTGCGGTTCGCGATTACAAGTCGGTTAGGGTTTCCTGGTGGACAGAGGACGGTGGTGGAGTTCAAGTTGAGGTTCTGAGTTGGGCCAAGAGGTCGTGGACAGAAATTCAAGACAGGAGCTTGGACACCATCCTCACTGTGAAACGGCAAGGATCCTGGAGCTTTCAGAATCTTCCCGTGGCAACCAGCAATGGTGGAGTGTATTGGATGGACACGGGTACTGGTATGGTGCTCTGCTTCAAACTACACGATGAGAAGTTGGGGTGGATTTCGACTCCCGACGATGCAGATGCTGCTGCAGCTTCTTCACCTTCTTGGTCTGTCCTGAGGACAATTAATGTCTGGAAAGGGTCATTGGCTATGTTTGTACTGCCAGTACAAGACTCGTTGCTCAGCGTTTGGTTGTTTGACGAAGGAGAGTCATCCTGGTCTACTTTACTTACCATTCCCTTGCAAGGTTCCCCGTGCATACCGGAGGCCATATGGCGCGTCAATGGCGAAAGCTTGTTCTTGCTCTATGTCAACTGCATTGCCTGTGATTCCACCGGAGCAGCCAGATTGAAACTTCCATTTCATGTTATTAGCAGAGCCTTTGAGTTTGCTGAGACCTTGGTTCCCATCCCTGGCAGTTGAAGAAGTTTGGTGGGTGGCTTTGTTTATTTTTCCCCCTCTTTTCCCCCCCTTGTAACTTGTAAGCAAAGTTCAGCACAGATGTTTATGTCTTTTCCTGTATACCTTAATAATTAACTGATGTTAATGTTCTGCAAACTGGGCTTACTATCCTTCGTTTACATTGTGTCCTGGTGCACTCTTGGTGTCGTCTTCAGCTTCTGTTGTTTGGAGTAATGGCTGCCATTGCAACTTTTGCAGCAAGATCGGCCCTTTCCATCTTTCGATTGTCGGTCATTTGGTAATGCCCTTTGGCCTTGGTAAGGGTTTGTTCTGCAATCTCTCATTTCCTATTCCTCTTTTCTTATTTGAGTTTCTATGTCTCCTAAGAAATTGGCCTACTGCTTCTACGATGAAGATTTGATTTAGCTGACCAGATGGGGAACAATCAAGCACACAAATAGTTAGTTTAAAGAATTGGAATATATTAATCAACACATATAGATGCCAAGTATGATCTATCATTTCCCCTCCGACTCTTTATCACGCAATTGAGCTATATAAATGGATTTTTGATATAGGATCGAGTTACCTTTCACAACAGAACATGTTCATTTTGACAATGTTGGAAGTCAGGACAGCCAACCACTAGCTCAAATGATGGATCTTGAAGGAAATGAATGGAAATCTTAGTGACTATTGAGTCTATGACTTCTCCTACCCATCAAGTAAGTTAAGTGTGCTCAAAATCATAGAAGACTAAGGTAGATAAACCACTGAGTCTAAGAGTTTTGACTTTTGAGACTACTCTGGTGAGGTTACCACTGAGTCTATATACCACTTTTGAGAATCTAACCTATGTCCTTAATGACTCAGATAAGTTGTTAACAACTATTTGATCCTATATGCTTCTTCCCATCAAACCTCTATTGGCGATGCTAATGGTCATTTTGTGGATGGAGAAGATGACTTCCCCATGGAACCCACTGTCAGCCTCTCCAAAAGGAAATAAGGTGTTGAAGATGAAAGCAATGAGTAATTATTAGCTTTATACAGGTGGGTTACTACATTCTATGTTTATATGTCAGATTAGAATGTTTGAACGAGTGGAGAAAAAATTAGTCTTCTCTTAAATTGAGTGTGTTATTATGTCGACATTTTAGCTTCGCTGTTGAAATGGTTGAACGATTAGTTTTCTTCCTCGAGTTATTTGAAATAATCATGCTAGCCCCAGTGCTTTGTAGTTGGTTTGGAATTGTCATTTGAGTGTTTATGTAATGCTATTGCTTTCCGATTGCAATGATTTCAAATTACTATTGCGTTGTTCGCCAACCTCCGGCCATCAGGCTGACCTTGGTATTGGATACATATCTTTTTTATATAAAATGTAATGGCTACATATCAATCACAATGCGAGTATCAATTTTTTTGGGCTATCTCCGGTCAAGAGGCCGGGCAATAAGCTAGTGTGGTTATTATGGATTCACCGCTGTGTATAGTGGTTAACCAATAACCACAAAAATAATATTTTGCTACCCACTATCCACAAATTATGGATATGGTTACCCTCAAAGTGTGTGGTTTGCAGATTACCCGCAATCCGCAATCAAAACTTCCACCACTGTCTTAAACCTCTCTTTCAATGATATGCTTAGTTTGTCTATTCATTTTAATTTACTCTCTCCTTGTAGCTATCATGGAAAAACAGACCGATCTTACAGGTATTTTGCTTGTATGAATTTAAAAAATGAGTCTTAGAAGTAGTTTGCTTGTAGGATTTTTAAAATGTGAGATTTAGATAAAATCCTAAATTTTGGGATTGAAAGATTATAATGGATTTTACTATATTGGATTTGTGTTGAGTTTTATAAATTGTTTGTTTGCTTGTTAGATTTCCAAATGAAATTGTCTTTCTTGGGTCTCCTGGCAGTGATGTCAAATTTTCCCCCGGGTAATTAACGATGTTAAAATTTGATTTCATAGGATATGATCAAATTTAACTTGATAAGTACGGAAATTACCGAGATAGTGTTCGTGCAGGTTCTTTCAATTCACACTACTTCAAAATAACCATCGTGTTGTTGAGGTTCCCTAAATAGCAAAGTAAAAGATAAAGGCGTTGTTCAAACATTGTTTTCTTACCGTTTTCATATTAATACCTTATAAAATCATGCATATAATCCAGGTCTATATACTATATTATAACTCATGGACGATTCTATAAATAACTAACTAATAATTATATAATAATTACGATTAAATCACGAATCACTAATCTTTCCGGTTCAACATTCAATCTTTTCGTGGGGGAAACATTGCAAAAATGGAGAGGCAGAGGGATTGAAATGATATTCATGGTGAGGCGTAGGCATTTGTCGGGTGGGCACGAGGAAGAGGCTTGGGCCAGACAAAACATCGGAGGTGTTCTAGATTTTGAGTCCATAGATTTCGAGTCATAAATAAAGAAGCCCAAGCCAAATCTTGGCCTGGCTGGGCCCATTATCGATCTAATATGATTTCCTTACCTTTAAAAATAAATCAATCGGAGTACAGAATGTGATCGTCCGCTTTATCGCATCGAATCCCAAAAGCAGAGTCCTTAAAGAAACCCGCCATTTTTTCAATCTTGAGTCTTGCCTAAGTCAAATCCATGAAACCGATACGCTCCGCCACTTCATCATCCTGCTCCTCCGCCTCCACCTCTACCTCCCCAGCGACGGCGACCACCGTCTCCTCCTCCTCCGCATCCTCCGCCTCCTCATTCAACTCGACGGCAATTTCCTCCTCCTCCGTCCCATCTCTCTCCTCCACCGTTGCCACCACCGCCTCCTCATCCAACTCGACAGCAGCAACGGCCGTTGCCTCCTCCGCCCCACTGATTCCCACCCCCGCGGCTGTTTTCTCCTCCACACCATCTCTTTCCTCCGGTTCTGCCGCCGCCTCCAAGTCCGCCTCTCACCCACGTCCCGCCGACGACGGCGAGTTCTTTGTCGCCCCGAAGAGATTTCGATCCAATGATCAGAATGCGGCGAATCGAGTGCCAGAGCGCCAAATCTTTGACGCGTTTCCTCTCGGTTCCCGAGAAGCGATTAAGAAGGCGGCATCAACGGCGAGGGAAGAAGATATCCAGAAGATCGTCCCCGAGGAAGAGGCTCGCCGTGAGCTCGCCGCGTCTGAGACAGGGGAAGCAGACGACCTACACGACGATGCTCATTTCGAACCGATGGAGCTCGAATCAAGTTTCCCGATTCCCGAAAATCAGAAAGGTGCGCGCTTTCTTTCCACCTGATTGTGGATTTGTGGATTAATGCGAGTACAGAGTGAAAGAAAGAAGGAAAGAAAGAAAGAAATCCTACTGTTCTTACTATCAAGATCGTGGATTTACAACGCAGCAAGAGCTTTAACAAGAATGAGTGACGAATCCTATTGTGCAACTGAATGCTAATTACAAGGAAATGGAAACGGATTGGTTGGAGTCTTGGAGATGCTTATTTTCAGGGTATTTCTTTTTTTTTTTTTTCCAGGAAACAAAACAGAGCAGATCGCCGAGGCTGTTTTCTCCTCCACCTCCTCTGCCCCCGCGGCTGTTTCCTCCGGCACCACCGATTCCGGGTCCTCCTCTGCCCCGCCTCTCCCCTCCATTCCTGCCGCCGGCTTCGAGGCCGCCTCTGATCCACCTCCCGACGGCGACCTTTTCCCAACAAGACTTCGATTCAAGGATCCCAATCAGGCCAATCGCAGAGTAGTGCCACATCCAGAAATCTACGAGACTCTGCCTCCTGCTTGCCAGATCAAAATCAGGAATGCATCAACGTATAGGGAAGAGATGCAGAAGATCACCCGCGAGGAAAATACTCTCCGCAAGCTCGCTGCGTCTCAGCAAGGTCTCCAGGACAACAATAACTGGGCAGAGGAACAAGACGACCTACATGATTCTTATTTCGAATCGCTGGAGCGTGAGTCAAGCTTCCCCTATCGCCCCTGATGCTTATTTTCGAATCGTTGGAGCTTGAATTAAGCTTCTCCTGTCGCCCCTGACGCTTATTTCGACCTACATGATGCTTATTTCTACTGGTATTAGTTAGTCTGGTATGTGATTGTTTGGTGAAAGGTGTTTACTGCCTGCTCTATTACCATTTTGATTAGTGCAGAGATCATTTTGAAAATTGAGGTCTTGGCATATTGCTAGAGACTAACAGCTAAAAGCTGGGCCGCTTTTGATTTAGTATGTTCATGTACTAGCTGAATAGCTTTTGAACAATTTTTAGTATGTCTGTGTGTATGTCTGTTCTTCTAATGCAAAACCAGAACTTTTCTTCTTCTCTCCGGTTAGATTCCTTTTTTTATGTTGAAGTAGCTGCTAGATATCTAGAGAATTTCCATGTCCATTCTGCCAGTTTCGACTTGCCCCTGGCCTTTGTCAATGTTCGTTATCGTAGCTGAACAATAGTGTTGCTGTGCTGCTCCTAGTTCGTTATACTTTCCCTCGTGAATAAAATGGCAGCTAAAAAAAAGGGAAAACTGAATTTGGCGCCATTCACATTAGTAGTGACCAATAATAAGCAAGGTTTTTGTGACGACACTTCTGGACTTTAATAAACATGTATAACTGTGATTTTTTCTTTCTTCAAAATTTGGCGCCAATTAGGGTGTTCAAATGGTTACTATGATAATTATCAAATCAAATAAGGCTATATTCTAATAATTTTGGAATGCAATATCATAACTAAACCGTCTAAATCAATACAATAATCGGATTAATCAAATTAAAATTTAATTGGTTTAGTTAATTGGTTAACTAGATTAACCAATATAACATCACATTCTCATTAAGTGAGAAGAATTTTTGGTTAATGCATCAATTTACAATTTATATAATGAATAATACATAACAATAACATATAATTATAGTTAATCCTTGACATAAACACATACAACTAATACAATTATATTACATTCAATTGAAGTATTCACCTAACAAAAATATAAGTCAATGGTATGGAGTTAATGAACTATTGTGTTAGTGTGAATTGACTTAGTCTCTTAGAAATTATCATTAGGTTGAAAAAGATTTTACTTTCAAGTTTTCATCCAATATAATGTATGAGTTTTTATCTAAATTAGACGTATATTCTTGTGGTCTACATTCCACAAATACAATTATACAACATAGGAACAATATTGAGCCTTACTTTTCATAAGTCTAAAATGAGGAACATTT